GGCTGCTTCTTGGAATAAATTCAAAGTCAGGTTTGGGAAACAGAATGCACATTTTTGAGCAGTGACGGGATGACCTGAGATTTGACTCAAAGTCATTCAAGACTAGTGTGCGGCATTTACTCTAAGCCAGGGGGTTCCCCAGGGGAAAGGGTCACTTTGTCATCGCCTGGGCCTGGGAAGAGTTTGGAAATGAGCCAGATGCTGAAGGATAAAGAGGGGTGCAGAGAGGAAGAAAGGAGTGGTGTGGGGGCCAAGCGAGTAGGGGAGATGGGCATTTCATGCTGGAATGACACTAAGGCTCCACGAGTGGCCCCCAGGGAGCAGGGGGTGCCATTTGCATTTTGGAGATCAGCTATAGTTAGCAGCAAGTCCCTGAGGGTAGGAGTCATGCATGGCCTGTTCCCTACTGTTTCCAGAGCCTAAAAGAAGGCCTGCCACAAACCCTGACTCAGAAGAAGACAAAGATGACAAAGAGGAGTGTGGTTGAGTTTTGCAAAGGGATCAAGGATGGCGGAAGTCAGGGTTCCTGGGGAAGGAGAGAGAAATGGAGCTGCAGGGAAGAGACCTTAAAGAAGTTTGGGAGTGAGTGCAAGGTGAGCAAACAGATACTCTCCGCAGGGGAGGAGAGAGGAAGATGGCTGGCCAGGGTGGGGCGGGGTTCCTGTGCACAGGGAGAGAGCAGAGGGATGGAGAGGTGAGGAGGGCTGACTCTGGGAAGGTAACAGTCAAGACAGAGACAGCCTGTGAATAAGGCAGGTGCTCTGACCTGGGGACAGAGAAAGGGTGGGTGGGAGGGCGGGCACAGGTTGGCTCCCCAGATGGCCTCTGCTCTCTCAACCAAGAGGCAGACAGTCTTCTGAAAACGGGTTCTGGAAAGGGGGATGAACAGAGAACTCCAAGGCTTTATGCAGAGCCAAGGCGCCTTCCAGCTGGCCTGTGGGAAAGAGCCAATGCGTGACTCCTCAGACAGCAGCCGGCGATCCAGCCCCAGCATCTGCAGGACAGACCGCAGCTGAGGGCTGTTGTGAGGGTGACCAAGGTAACCGAGGGCTCCACACTGCTACAAGCACCACCCCACTTTTGCCCGTGGACCCACCTAGACTGGCCCCATGGTCTCTCATTCTGTAAGATCTAGCCCCCGAATCGGCTGGATAAGGAGGCCTATATCCATTTCTTGACGTTTTGGAGAACCGGGGGGGAAGGGGGGGCTTTAAATATACAATGAGGGGGCCTCATTAGGCTTCCGATTCCATACCTACTCCCGAGTAGGAGCTTTCTCATTCAGGTCTTTCAGAGTCCCCAGAAAGGCTGAATAAATTCAGAATAGAGACAATGCCGAGCACAGAGTGCTTGCTGGGAATGCAGGCAGGCATCTGATAAGGGAAGGTATAAGGCTAATGTCTCTGCAGCCCTGACAGGCTAGGAAAACTGCCGTGGACCAGACTGAAAACAGACAGAGGGAAAGGAGGGGACAGGAGCTGAGTCCTGATCACTCTGGTCAGAAAGGTCCCACCATTTATGGTAAACACAGGTTTCGGAAGGAAGAGTGCTTTTGCACTACATCCGTCACTGGGAGACTCAGGGAAACGACATCTCAAGGCAGGTATATGAGTCCCTGCGATTTCTCCCTGCGCTGCACATTTCGCACAGGCCGCGGGAGGGAATCGGACACCAGAGCCCCTTGGAGATGATGATTCGAGCTCTTCTCCTCCCTTGATCCCCCGATTCTTGCCATTCTCCCTCCCACAAAGGAGCAACCCCAGCCCCGTCTGCAGAGTCACAAATGTTTATTCATGTGCCAAGGCGCATGTGGTTTTAATTATTTATGATAGTGTCTCATTGCACATGGGGAGGTGTCCTGGAGTCACTTCTCCCGACTGATGAAGCCGTTGTCATCAGAGACCTGCTGTCTCTTAGTTGGCAAATCTCGGCTGAGAGGAAGGCCAGGCATGGCCTCTCCCTGTCTGTGGGAGTCAGCCGTGGCTCCCAGAGGCGAGCTTAGCCAAATCCCGTTATGAGGCTCCTGCACACCTTTGTTGTTGCCATACGTGTTTTCTGAATACAATTAGGAACCATCCACTGTTTAGTGACAGGACAAAATGCACGGCTTCCCCAAAAAGGAGACTTCCCTCAGCATTGGGGGGTTTTAACAATCTGGAGTCAGCTTGTGATTTCCCTAGTTTGAGGTTTGGTCTGTCCCTTATTCCTTCCTGTCTTCATCCACAAATCTCTTCCTCTCCATCTCCACTGACCCCTTCTCCTTTACACAGGCATACTGCCTGGATCCTTCAAAAGTCCGCTTTAAATCACAAACACAGAGATTAGGAAGGAAGGCTCTTCCTTTGCACCGTTTCGTTGGGCACAGGCTGGAGCTGGATCCTGACATTAAAGGACACTCGGATCCCATGGTGCTCTCCATGGCTCGTACCTATGCTGATGACCCAAGGGAAACCTCCTTCCCATGTGCCAGATTCCTCCCCACCCGGCAACTGTCCTGGGAAGCTGGTACCAGGAGCTCACGTGACCCAGAGACTCGACACCAGAAACCCAGAACTTCCCCTAAAGGGCAGAGTCCACTTTCATTATCCACAGATTTACAAAGTCACCCACGTGCTAAAATGTAAGTGTAACCCCACAACCCATACTCGTGGGTGCTCTTATGGTCATGGGCAAACATGTGAGCCATGGCAAGAAACCAGAGTCACCCGATGTGCACACTCCCATGTGACATGCTGCCTTCTTACTTCAGCTCTCATACCGGAAATGAACGCCCTTTCTGTCGTCTTACTTAGAGCCATTTTCTGCAAGTGTGCTTTTTGTGGGTGATTTCGCTGTGTATAATGGCCCTGAGCATAGCACTGGAGTTTCTAACACTCCAGTGAGCAAGAAGGCTGGATGTGTGCACCTTATGGAGACCACAGGTGCGTTAGGTAAGATCCGTGTGCTAGAAAAGCTTCACCCAGGCATGAGTCCCAGTGCTACTGACTCTGAGTTTGATGTTAATGAACCAATGACATCTATTACATAGGCATCTTCAGGCAGAAGCACACATAAAATGGGTTATGTATTGATTAGTTTATAAAAACGTTGTGACAAGATCCTCACAGGAACCTAACCTTGGATGTCCCCTAGGAGCAAGGGTTCATCAGCCACTAATTCAGTGTTCATGGGGCTCTATTAGAACATAACTACTGTAGGGGCGCCTGGGGGGCTCAGTCAGTTAAGCATCTGACTTCGGCTCAGGTCATGATCTTACGGTTCATGAGTTCGAGCCCCGCGTCGGGCTCTGTGCGGACAGCTAGCTCAGAGCCTGGAGCCTGTTTTGGATTCTGTGTCTCCCTCTCTCTCTGACCCTCTCCTGTTCGCGCTGTATCTCTCTCTCAGAAATAAATAAAACATTAAAAAAAAAAAAAAGAACATAACTACTATAAATAACCAGAATCAATTGTATATTCAATACAGCATGGCCTAAGTTCTGCTTAAATGCTAACATGGCTCTAAAAAGCTCTACATCATCAACTCTAAGCCAAGCTTGGACCCCACACTACCATCATAGAAAGGCTTTTGGTCCAGCCACACTCAGGTCAGTCCAAGATGAACCTGACCGGAGGCAAGACCTTCAGCCAGAGCAGAACCATTCTTAGCACTGTGTTCCTCCACTATTTATCTGATACACAGGTATTTTCCTTTCCTTGCCCTGGTCCAGAACCCAGATCTCCTTCCTCTGACACTGATGGGGGGGTGGGGGGGAAGGTATCCCACAAACACTGAGACCAATTCTGGAGGACACCCAAGGTTGGGAGGCACGTGATGATCTCATTCTGACTCGAGCCCAGAACCTCCCACTGTGGTAATCCTCTCACTAAAAATCAGAACCAGAGAAACAGAAGCAAAGGTCAGTGAGATAGCTGAAGGCCCACTCTGCTGTGGGACGGACTTCTAGGAACCGCAAGACTGCTGTGAGCTACAGTGTAGTCCAAGCACAGCACGCACAGACGGTGGACCAGACAAGACTCAAGGTGCTTCTTCCTCGGCCAAACCCTGAGCCCCGTGGATGGAAGACGAGAGCTGATGGCAGAAGCCTGGGGATAGGGGAGGGAACTCACAGCCTCCCGAGATCTCAGTTTTCCTGTGAATAAGATGAGGCCTTAACCTAGCCCATCTCTTCCATCTCTTCCAGCTCTCAAGCAATCTCCAGGGGCCTCTGCTCTCTCTCCTGAACTAGCTGACCGTTTCTTGAGGGCAGGAGCGGGGGAGGCTATGCACTGGGGTTTCTAGGCCTACGCTGACCCTGGGACACAGCAAAGGGAACACCTGTTGAATGGAAGGTCCAAGCTGCTGAGGCTCCAGAAGCTAGGAGGGACCCTAGCAGAAACAGCGGGAGCACAAAGGGAGGGGCTGAAACCAATAGCAAGTAAGAAATGAGGAAGAAACAGGTGCCCTGCATCCTCTGATCTCAATGAGGCATCTGCGGAGGGAGGTGAAGTGTCCAAGTGCTGGGGCCATGATCGGATTCTCAGAAAGTGCTCACTTCGGGGCACTGGAGGGGCAGCTAGAGAGATGTTTCCATTCAAGCGGTACTCACCACCCTTCATTCCCTTCCCCTCTCACAGAGGAGGCTTGGGCGGAGGGTCTGATAGCCTCAGGGGCTGTTGTCTAGACAGAGCCAGGTTACATTTCCTCAATGCATAGGCCAGGTCTATAGAAAAGACCAGCCTGGTCTGTGCCCTCTGCCTTACTGGGAGCACCTCTCCATGTGGGGCTGGGGCTCCTGCTTCCGGGATACTTCCCACCCTGAGCCCCCTCTGCCCCAATGGAGACCCCTTGATGAGTCTATTTTTTCAAGATTTTAGACAAACAGGGAGGGTCTCTTAGAAAGTGGGAGGTTAGCAGGTGGCAGGTCACCTCAGAAGGTTCCAGAACCCCAGCTAGGTGGTCTATTGCCATGCCCCCCTCCCCGACCCTCCCCAGGAGGGACAACATTCTACTGAAGTACTCACATGTGTCTGGCTTGTGGCAGTTGTGTCCCTGACGGAAGTATTGGGGGTTCTCAATGACTGGGATCCGGGTCATGCCGATGACCACTGTGTCTGGCCCAGCATCCAACGATGAGGGTGTGGTGATACCATGGTTGATGTGGTGCAGTGGGCTGGCTGAGTCCTCCTCACCGCTGATGACAGCCACGGGGCCTACACACACAGGGAGAGACACAGGACTACGGTGAGGTCATGTCTGGCCAGTGCCTGGCGCTGCCCACAGACAATTTGTAGCCACCACATTTCCCCAAGAGTAGAATCTACTGTAAGACTATTCCCCGAACCCTCTGGAGTTTGCACTCAAAAAACCACCACTGCATTCTCTTTTTGTGAGAGAAACATCCACCCAATCACACCATGGAAACAACTGCAAAATAGGAGTGTATCAAAGTAATTAGGACGTGAATTATCTGTGCTTCCCCCAAATCCAAGTTAGTTCAAAATAATGCAAATTTTACATGAGTTCTTGGCTTACGTAGCAACAATGGGATAAAAAAAATTATAAAGCAGGAACTTGCACCCTGTCCCTCCTCCCTTCAGGAACTTTAAAAACTATTTTTTTAATGTTTTATTATTTATTTTTGAGAGAGAGAGAGACAGAGTGTGAGAGGGTTAGATGAAGAGAGAGAGGGCTAGGCTCTGAGCTGTCAGCAAAGAGCCTGATGTGGGCCTCAAACTTATGAACCATGAGATCATGACCTAAGCTGAAGTCAGACGCTCAACTGATGGAGACACCCACGCATCCTAGGAGCTTTAAAAACTCCTGATTCCGGGTCCCACCTCTAGATTCTGATTCAGTTGGTCTAGGGGCTCACCTGGGCATCAAGATTTAAAGAGCTTCTGTGTGAGTCCCCAGCACAGCCAGTATCTGGAGCCTCTATCTGGAGGCTGAGCCTCTACTGGAGCCAGTATCTTGGAGGCTGAGAGCCTTTCCAGAGTGGCCTTCGGATTCCTACAGGAATGTACGTAGCTTTGGCTGGACTCTGCTATCACCTCCACCTCTCAGTCCGCAGGGGAAGAAGCCCAGTGTGAGCCCAGACGGAATCTGAGCCAGCTGTCTAAGTGACAGGAATTTGTCTGCATCACTGTTAGCCATCAGGCAATGGGGTCAGCATCCCACTCTTAAAGGATCCACCCTCCCCCAGTGGCTTCAGGGAACATCATTTGCATCTTCACCAACGCCAACTCCACAAGTTTCTAACCCAAAGAAGAAACCCAGTAAGTCGGGTTATTTGCAAACACAAGCTGACAGCGACTGTTACTGCCGCCATGTTGGCAGAGCAATGGTTTCGTCTGGCGGTGCGGTTCTCCCGTCCATACAAGCACAACTCGTGTAAAGTGAATCAGAGTGTTTGAAACGGCTGCTTTGCAAGACACATGGTCCCAAGACAAAGTGCCCGCTGTGATTTGGTTTTGCGACTTGAACAATATTTCCACTACAGAAATCCATTACATCTACTGAAGTTTATGAGGAGAGTATTTCCCATCAAATAGCGAGGGGAAGCACCAATGAGGCAGAACTAAAAGGGAGACTAGTAAATGCAAGCTGAGGGCCCTGAATTCTATTCTGTCGGCACAGACAGGCTTATTCCAGTCCATGACAAATGCCTGATGGGGTCTGGAGCCCACATGGAAGAGCAGCAATAAGTGGCGATAATCACTTGCCCTGCAATCAGAGAGGTCAGTGCCTGAAAACACCTTGTAAACTCTGAAAAACTTCACAGTGATTCTAATTAACCAGTGAAAGTGGAACACAGATTTTTATCATTCCTCCCTCCCCCAATGTCTCTAAAATATAAAATAATAATAATAATAATAATAATAATAAATATTTGTACACAAAGAGCAAGAAGAGGGGAGATGAGAATAAATAAGATATTTCAATGTTTTGGAAGATGAAATGGGAAATGAGGAGAGCTTGGTTACAGGGGCTGCAGGAGGAATATTTACAGAAGGTCAGCTCTGCGAGGTGGCTCGGTACTTGAAGGGGAGGGTCACCCAGAAGGCTGGGGTGAGGCTCGGCTCGAACAAGGTACCCAGGACATCACCTTGCTCCCAGTCTAGTGGTTTTTTTCCTGGAGAAAATTAGTTGGAAGGGCTCAGGGGAAGGACTGGTCTCCTTCTTCTTGCTCCTAGAAGAAAGAAACCAAGAATGACTATGCCCCCCACCTACCCTACTTCTAGTCTGTTCTGTAGGACATTCAGGGGATGCTTCTCTGCAGGAACTGAATACCTCAAAACAAACAAAAAACAAACAAAAAAACACCTAGATGTTGACATGTGATGGTCTCCCAATGAAGTCACGCTTACTTTGTGATCATGCCACCATGAAGGCTAATACTTGACAAGCCGTCTGCGTGCATAAAGTGCTTTCTAGTACTCGAGTCCTAAATGCGGGAAAACAGCCCAGATCACCAGAGACTTCAGCAAAACTGCAGCATGAAAGAGAGAGTGAAAGACAGACAGACAATCAGGGACTTGCAGGAAACAGAGGCAATGCAGGGAGCAGAAGACTTTTGTTTTCTAAATCACTAATGTCCCCAGAGAGACCAATGAAGACATCACATCCATAAAGCAAGATGATATTTAAAACGTGAACAATTCAAGGGTAAGAAAAAGTCCTTGAGAATTATGACCATCAGAATTCAAAAGCCAAAGAAGAGTGGAAGATAAAGCCAAGGAAAATTTCCAGAAAGTCAAACAAAAAAGAAAGAGGAGGTAAATAGGAGAGAAAAGATAAAATTAAAGACTGCATCCAGAGACTCAATATCTCATTAAAAGAAAGGTGGGGCAGGGAGAAGAAGAAGAGAGAATAGAAAAGATGGAAGGGAGGATAAAAAATTAGGGGAAAATTTCTCCAAATGATCTGTCAGAATTCTCAGTTTCCAGCACAATTAACACACGCATGTGGGCATATGGTATAAGTGTGCGTGTACACACATACACGCATCAAGGCACAAAGTTATGAAATGCCAGAATCGTGAGAGAAGATGCTAAGAGCCTGTAGAAGGGAGGGATGGGTCACATTTCAAAAGGAACAGAAATCAGAAAGACAATGCAATTCTCCATTACAACCTGCTGTGGCTTCACTGAGCAATTCCTTCAAAATTTTGATGAACAAGTTTTCAGCCTAGAATTCTACCCCTAAATGTTTATTCACTCATTGTAGAGGGCAAAAGAAAGGTATTTGCAGGTGTGTAGATATTCACCTCCCCGTTTCCTGGGAAGCAGGAGGAGGGGACAGTTTGGCAAGACAAAGGTACAAGTGGAGAAGGAAGAAACAGAAGACACAGTTCCAGAAAGATCAAATGACAGAAGCCCCCCACCCCGCACCTCGCCCCCTTCTGTTCTCAGCATCACGGGATGTGGGTTGTTACAGTGACTCCACCAAATCAGGAGGAGTTTGGAGAAGACAGAATGTTGGGACGTGAGCCTTTTACAAAAGGCTATTTCTTTCAATCTGTGTCTCAAGGACTCAATGGACAGAGAGTGGTCAAGAGAACGTTCCAAAGCCTGGGATCTAAAACATTCTCTGCTTTCTCAACATTATTCTAGGATCGGAAAGGGCCAGGTAAGAACCACAGGGATGAGAAGGGTCCTGCTACAGGCTCCCAAGCCACGGAAGGGACAGACGGAGTTACCCAGGAAGACTTCACAGGAATCAAAGAACACAGCGGACTTTGAAGCCATGGAAAACCCAATACTTAAAATGCGGGCAGAGGAAGGGGAGCAGGGAAAGGAACATGAGAGGAAACAACCAGAAAAACAGAAGAGAATCAGTAAAGGACATTGTCTTAGAAGCCAAAGGAGGAGAATTTCTACAAGTTCAAGAGCATCCTGTACTAAGGCCAAATAGGGTAAAGAATAAATGTAGGCCGCTGTATGCGACAACGAGAAGGTGGCCTTAATGACAGCAGTTTCCACAGAGAAGTGACAGGAAGAAAACATTCAATTATAGCGGGTTGAGGAGTAAATCAGAGATACTTTCACTGTCATAATAATTTTTATTAATAAGTGGGTTCTACGCATGAGGCTCTGTAAACACAACGCCTTTAACTGTATAATGCTTCTGTGAGGTCGGTACCATTATTTCCCCCATTTTACAGATGGAAGCACTGAGGCATAGAGCCGTGACCTGTCCAAGCTGGTGCTAGGATACAGACCACCCGTCTGTCTGCAGCCTGTGCTCATAACCATTACACAGCACTGCCCCCTCCCCCCGGAAAGTGCAGACTGTGGGCAAAATGGTCTGTTCAAAGAGACACTTGGTCAATTCTGGTACATTATCCTCCTCGTGAGCACCTGCCTTCGATTGCAGGTCCCTGAGACCCTTTTCAAAGAGGCTCCTCTTGATCCTTGAGAAAGGGGACAAGAGTGAATCACCTCATTAGACTCACGAAGATAGATTACAGATAATTCATCACGAGCTCTGCGTCCCAGAGCTGCTGAACGCTTGCATTCAGCTACATCCACATCAAAAAGAGCACTGTGTCAGACCGCTGTCTAGTGTCTGTGGCCCTCTTACTCACCTCTGCTCCTCCAGAAGCCACAGTCCTTACAATACAAGCCAATAAAGAGTACTGAGACCCATCGCTTCAAAGAACGGAAATGGACACCCCTGCAGCTTGCTCCTGCCCACCTGCACCAGCGTCCAGCACCGTCCCTGGCTGCAGCTGGTGCTGACTAAGTCCCTTCTCTGGGACAGGGCTGCTCTGGGTATGGCCAGATGTGTGGCCTCCCTGGACCTGGGCATTAAAAGCCAGTATCAGGTGCATCAGTGGTAACAAATGCACCACCCTGTGATGGGCAGATAGTGAGGGAGGCTATGAATGGGGGAGAAAGGGCAGGGGAGGGGTGCAGAACTCTCTGTGTGCCTCCCACCCAATTCTGCTGTCAACCTAAAAATGCTCTAATAAAAATTAGGGGCACCTGGGTGGTTGTTGGTTGAGTGCCGACTTTGGCTCAGGTCATGATCTCGCTGTTCCCAAGTTCAAGCCCTGCATCAGGCTCTGTGGTGACAGCTCGGAGCCTGGAGCCTGTTTCAGATTCTGTGTTTCTCTCTCTCTCTCTCTTTCTCTCTCTCTCTGCCCCTCCTCCACTCATGCTTTGTCTCTCTCAAAAATAAATGTAAACATTAAAAAATGTTTTAAAAA